CTCCCTTCCCCCCTCCCCACCCCCACCACTTTAAGAAGGCAAACAATTTGATATAGGTTATACATGTGTAGTCATGCAAAACATTTCCATATTAGTCATGTTGTGAAAGAAAGCATATACTCCCAAAAAACCCTCAAGAAAAATAAAGAATGCTTCAGTCTGTATTCAGACACCATAAGTTCTTTCTCTGGGGATGGACAGCATTTTTCATCATAAGTCTTTCAGAGTTGTCTTGGATCATTGTATTGCTGAGAAGTGCTAAGTCATTCATAGCTAATAACCTTACAATATTGCTATTAATTTGTGCATAATACATTTCACTTTGCCTTAGCTCATGTAAAACTTTTCAAGTTTTTCTGAGAGCAGCCTGCACATCATTTCTTATAGTACAAAAGAATTTTATCACAATGACACAGCACAAAATTTGTTCAGCCATTTCCCAATTGATGGATATCCCCTCAATTTCCATGTTTTTTTTGCCATGAGAAAAGAGCTGCTATAAATATTATTTTTTTAAAATATAGGTCCTTCTCCTTTTTGCTTTTTTTTGTCTCTTTTGGAATACAGATATAGTAGTGGTATTTCTAGGTCAAAGGGTATGCATGATTTTATAGACCTTTGGGAATAGTTCCAAATTGCTCTACAGAATGGTTGAATCAGTTCACAACTCCACCAACAATGCATTAATGTTTCATTTCCCCCACATCCCATCCAACATTTGTCATTTTCCTTTTCTGTCCTATCAGCCAATTTAATAGGTATGAGGGAATACCTCAGAGTTGTTTGAATGTGCATTTCTCAATCAATAGTGAGGTAGAGCATTTTTTTCATATGGCTATAGATAGTTTTGATTACTTCATCTGAAAACTATTCCTAGCTTTTGATCATTTATCAACTGGGAAATGGCTTTATTTTTATAAATTTGACTCAATTCTCTATATGTTTGAGAAATGAGGCTTTTGTCAGAGAAATTTGTTTCATTTTTTTCATAGTTACAATTGTTTACTGTATTTCTCTCCATCCTATTCTCCCCCCCTGTTTATTCTATTCTCTCTCTCTCCTTTCACCCTGCTCCTTCTCAAAAGTGTTTTGCTTCTGACTACCCCCTCTCCCAATCTTCCCTTTCTTCTATCACCCCCCACCTTATCTTATCCCCTTTTCCTTCTACTTTCCTGTAGGGTAAGATAGATTTTTATACGCAATTGAGTGTGTATATTATCCCCTCTTTGAGCCAATTCTGATGACAGTAATGTTCATTCACTGCCCCTCATATCACCCCTCTTCTCCCTCTTCGGTAAAAGCTGTCTCTTGCCTCTTTTATGTGAGATAATTCACCCCATTCTATCTCTCCTATATCTTTTCTCCTAATACATTCCTCTCTCACCCCTTTAGTTTTATTTTTAGATATCATCCTTTAATATTCAACTCACACTTGTGTCCTCTGTCTATGTATACTCCTTCTGACTACCCTAATAATGGGAAATTTCTTATGAGTTACAAGTATCTTCTTCCCATGTAGGAATGTAAACAGTTTAACCTTATTAAGTCCCTTATGATTTCTGTTTACCTTTTTATGTTTCTCTTGAGTTTTGTATTTGAGAGTTAAATTTTCTCTTCAGCTCTGGCTTTCAATCAAGAATGCTTGAAAGTCCTCCATTTCATTGAATGTCCATTTTTTCCCCTGAAGGATTATACTCAGTTTTGCTGTATAGGTGATTCTTGCTTGTAATCCTAGCTCCTTTGCCCTCTGGAATATCATATTCTAAGTCCTTTGATCTTCTAATGTAGAAGATGCTAGATCTTATGTTATCTTGACTGTGGCTCCATGATATTTGAATTGTTTCTTTCTGGCTGCTTGCAACATTTTCTCATTGCCCTGGGTACTCTGGAATTTGGCTATAATATTCCTGGAAGTTTTAATTTAATTTCAGGAGGTGATTAGTGAATTCTTTCCTCTGGTTCTAGTTTTCCTTGATAATTTCTTGAGAGATGGTATCTAGGCTCTTTTTTTTTTTAATCATGGCTTTTAGGTAGTCCAATAATTTTTTAATTTTGTCTCCCCTGGATCTATTTTCCAAGTCAGTTGTTTTTCCAATGAGATGTTTAACATTGTCTTTATTTGTTCATTCTTTTGGTTTTGTTTTATTATTTCCTGCAGTCATTAGCTTCCACTTTCTTGATTCTAATTTTTAAGGAATTTTTTTCTTCAGTAAAGTTTTGTGCCTCTTTTCCTATTTGACCAATTTTGCTATTTAAGGCATTCTTCTCCTCATTGGCTTTTTGGACCTTTTTTACCATTTGGCTTAGTCTGTTTTTTTTTAAGTTATCTTCTTCAGTAATTTTTGCGTCTCCTCTACTAAGCTATTGACTATTTTCATGATTTTCTTGCATCACTTTGATTTCTCTTCCCACTTTTTCCTCTATCTCTCTTACTTGATTTTTCAAAATCCTTTTTGAGCTCTGCCATTTTTCTTTTTCTTTTGAGCTTTTTCTTTTTCTTTTCCTTTTTTTGCTTTTTGGTGAGGCAATCAGGGTTAAATGATTTGCCCAGAGTCACACAGCTGGTAAGTAAAGTGTCTGAGGTCGGATTTGAACTCAGGTCCTCCTGACTCCAGGGCCAGAGCTCTATCCACTGTGCCACCTACCTGTTCCCAATTCATATTTTTCTTGGAGGTTTTGGACGTAGGAGCTTTGGCTTCATTATCTTCTTCTGAGTGTGTTTGATCTTCCTTGTCACCACAGTAACTTCCTATGGTCAGAATTTTTTTTTTTCTGTTGTTTGCTCATCTTTCTAGCATATTACCTGATTTTTAACTCTTTGTTAAAGTAAGCCTCTGCTTCCAGGGTGGAGGGTGTACTGTCCCAAGCTTCAAGGGTTTTGTGCAACTGTTTTCAGAGATACTTCTAGGGACCTGTAAGTTTTCAGTTCTTCCAAAGTGGTATGATCTAAGGAAAGGTGTTTACTATTCTCTTGGCCTCTGCTATGTTCTGAGAATGATCACAAGCACTCTTTCTGCCCTGGAACTGTGACTAGGGTCCCTGTTGCACTCAGGCCACAAACTCTGGTGTGCTAGTGCTTCTCCTTGCCTTGGGACTGCCACCCAGGACTATGACCCAGATCCAACTATGGGCAAAGCAACAGCACTGCCTCAGTGCTAATAAAGAGACCAGTAATCTTTTGACCAGTTGTTCGACCCCCTTACTGCCTTCAGGCTGAGATCTCTACAAGCAGTTTCTACATCTGTGATTCAGATGTGACTTGATGGTGAGAACTTTCTATTTTGAGTATATGGTATTTGTGATTGCTGAGGAAGTGGGGACTTCAGCACCATTTACCAGGCCAGGAACTACATAGTTATTGACACCCAGGATAATTGGTGTAGAGACAGTGCTAGGAATGGAATTTGTGGTCTAGGGGGCACTGGCATTTCCAGAACTCTTAGGCTCACCTATTGGTAGTATCTGATCAGTGGTTGGTGTTGGTGGTTGCAAGGAAAATGGATTCCTCCTTCGCAGGCATTATTCCCCTCAATGATGACTATGTGAACCAGGGCAAAATTAGTGCTAGTTTTCATGGCATGGGGGAGGGAGGAGGAAATACACTGAGGGCCTGCTATTCCCAGTCCTTTGGGGTTTAAGCGTTCTGGTCTATGTCCATTGAAAACTGAGAAAAGGTAGTGGAAGCAATGGTTTGGCTTGATTATCACATGCTTCTCCTGTCTCTCCCTCAGGATACCTAGCTTCTTCAGCCAGAGACAACATAGAAATAGGGGTTTAAAACAGAGCAGTGGGTAAAATCCAGGCAAGCAATAGACTGGCTAGAACAGATACAATACATTAGTGAAGAGGAAGAACCATCAACCAGGAAGCTTCTTATACTGTTCTTCCTGTAGTAGATAGGAGAGAGAGAGAAAGAGAGAGAGAGAGAGTGAGAGAGAGAGAGACAGAGAGACAGAGAGACAGAGAGACAGAGAGACAGATGAGAGAGAGAGAGAGAGATGAGAGATGAGATGAGAGAGATGAGAGACAGCGCATTTTATAGTATATTAAGACCCACTTCTGTCATAGTCAAGCACAGAAAAAGTTCTTCAGGGAGTATTACGTAGAGTCAGTAGATCACACAGTGGGTAGAAAATTGATTTTGGACTCTAGTAGATATGATTTTGAATTGTGCCTGAGACGCTTACTAGCTGTGCAAACTTGGGCAAGTCACTTAACTTTTCAACCTCAGTTTTCTCAAGTGTAAAATGGGGATAATAACACCTCTCTCACAGGATTTTTGTGAGGATCAAATGAGATAACATGGAAAATGCTTAGCAAGCCTTAAAATACTATATAAAAGCTAGTTATGATGATAATGATGTGATTGTTGTTTGTGTTCACCTCTCTCTCCAAGAGTCCTTTGCAACACTCTCCATACCTGCCAGATCCTGATAGCCTTACCCTAGTAAACTTCTATCCCACTGCCAACCATACCACGATTCCCACTTCTCCAGTCTAATGGTCCAGGTCCACAAGTGGCTTCTCTTCCCCACCACCTGCTTCTGTTCCTATCCTTCCTCACCATTTGATTCTTAAATCTTCAATTAAGAATACCCTTTCCATCTTACAGCTCTCCATCTCCAGCTCTCTCCATCTTAATGGCTAATAGGATATTGATGCACAAGATAAAAAGGGAGTCAGTAAGAGAGCACCTTTGAGGAGTTTAAATTCCTTGGTCCAGATGAGCTATGCTTTTGAGTATTGATGTGTGAATGCTGAGCCATTGTCAATTATTTTCAAAATATCATGAAGAACATGCCACAGAGCTTCAGGAAAAAAAATGTCATTTTCAAAAAACGGAAGAGAATGGAGTGCATAAAACATGAGCCAATAAGCTTGAACTTGATGCCTGGCAAAATTTTAGAATGTATTACTGAAGGAATGGTTAACAAGTATCCAGAAAAGGAAGTAGTGATTACAAAGAGTTAGCATGAGTTCATCAGGAGTAGGTAATTCCAGGGCTCACTTAACAGCACATATACTATAATTGGAAGGATACAGAGAGGATCAGCATGGCCCCTGTGCAACCATAACACACAAATTTGTGAAGTGTTCCATATTTTTAAAATTGTATTCAACTATTTTTTTCTCTCATGTAAACTTCCTTTTGACTGTCATGCATTTTTCTAGTAATTGCTCTTTCGGTATGCAAAAAAGACCTCTAATAAAACTACATTGCAAGAGAAGGGAAAGAAACAGAATGGCAAGAGTAAAGAAGCGGAAGAAGTGGAAGAAGCCTGAGGAGTTTGTGGGGAAGAAGGTGTTGGACAGGTGAGTGGATGAACAGCATAGTGGAGTATTCTTTTTTAAACAGAAATGATTTACAGATGCCGACCACACATGGAAACCCAAAGAAAACTTAGATTGTCCAGAGTTATTGACGCATTTCTAAATTCTCAGAAGACTGGTAAAGAAAAAGATGGAGTCAAGAGAAAGTTTTTATCCAACAGTGAGTCAGATGATAGCAAGTCAAAGGAAAAATGTGAGTCTGCTGACAAGCTTCAGGGTTTTGTGAGGGGCCTTGATCCAGATCAAATCATTGGTGCTATGGACAGCAGTGGAGAGCTGATACCTCTGAACAAGTAAATACAAACTTTCTGCATTTACTTAACATTTATCACAGAAGACAGCATTTGATACTATGGAATCATTAACTTCCTCCACAGTACAGAAAAAAAAAATTTTTTATAAATACTGATAAAATACCTTTTAGAGTCACTATTCTGAATCCTAAGAAATGTTTAGCTCCTATGTAATGCCTAAGTTTAGCTGTCTGAGAAAATGTTCTGTCCATATAGAATTTTGACATTCACTTGAATGCCAACTTAATAAAAGCTTAATAAAGTAAATTAAAAAAATCTAGGGGTAAATCCATTGGAAGCTTTCTTCCAGCATCCATTTTCCATTACTGCTCAGTTCTCGGGGTCCTAAAAGCCTCTTCCTCCTGACTAACAGAAAAATGTGCTACCTTCACTTTTTCAAACACTAACTGTTTTTGGACAGAAGAGAATGATTTTGAAGGCACTTTGCAATCTTGCTGGAGTGTTCAAGGTAGTGCTTAGTGTCTGGGTGTCTCAGTGTCTAGGCCCATTTAAGGTGGTGGTGGGCATCTTCCCTGTGAATGCAAAGGTGGAACCAAATACACACAGGAGATGAAAACTCCACATTTATCCAAAAGGGATCTTCTCCCCAAAGGCTCATTGGTCAGGTCTGTTGGATAAATCTGCCAGGATTTGCAGAAGAGTGGTCACACATGTTTGCAGCCTCTCCACATGTCTGACATCTTGATCATTGATGTTGCCCAATCCTAGTGTAGAAATGTGCATGAGTAAATACTGACAGAACTTGTCTGAACATTTATCTAAAATGTTAAAATAGAAACATTTTGGCCTTGATTTTCAAAGAGAAAAACTTAGACTTCCTATCTCAGAAAGTAGGGTTGTGTCATCTTATTTTACTAACCGAAGGGTCCTCTCTTAATCTTTAGTAACATCCCCACCTGTTGGAACTTAAATATTCTGCCTAAAGGACAGGGATTTGGTAAGAGTTGGGGGGTGGGTTGTGTTTTCCTAACCATGGGCATAAATGGGGAAGCGAATGTTCCCATGTTATGTAGTCTTCCATACTCTTGACATGCAAGTTTTTTTTTCCTTTATCCCAACCCATTACTTCAACATATAGGACCAGCCTTTTGAATATTTGGGTCTCTTGGCTTCATGGGAATCAGGAAAAGAAAAAAAAACAACTTTGTAGCTATTGAAATATTATACAAATGTATATTGTTTACTTTATTGTAAATACTGGTGAACAGTGGTCAATAAATAGTTTTATTTTCTTCCTTTACAAAAAAAAAAGAGTAGGTCATTCTAGACAAATTACATTTCATTTTTTGCAGGTTCCTGAAGGAAATGTTTATGTGCAGTTTATGTGATTTTAGCATAGCATTTGGCAAAGTCTCTAACGCTATTCTAGTGGAAAAGATGGAACGATATGGGCAAGACAGTAGTTAATAAGGTGAATTCAGGACTTACTGAATGTCTAGACCTAAGAAGTAGTCAATGATGGTTCAATATCAACTTTGAAAGGGGCCTCTAGTGAAAGGAGTAGGGACTAGGGGAGGAATTTGTGTTTATGTAAATAACCTTGGGCTATTTCCAAGTTTTATCAATGACTTGCACATAAGCATAGATGTCATGCTTATCAGATTTCCTGATGGCGCAAAGATGAGATGGATAGCTAACACGTCAGATGATAGAATAGGATACAATAAGTTTTAGATAGGCAAGACTGAGTCTAGTAAGATGAAATTTAATAAAAAGATAAGTAGATATGTAATAATACCAAGGTAGCAAATTGCAACTCTTTACATATATGTCACCCCAGTCTTCTCATTTATTGTAGCAGATAAAAAAGGAAATGAATGAAACATGGTATGCTGGTTTTACTATTGTACAATTCATTTCATGCACTCTACATCTTGCCAAAAGCCTACTTACTAGCTGTTCCTTAAATTCCACCTTCCATGTCTCAGCTCTGTGCCTTAGGATAGATTCTTCCTTGTTTCTAGAATGTACTATTTTTGTCTTCATCCAGTACAGTCCCTGGTTTCCTATAAGTTTCAACTCAGATATTGCTTCTTATGTCCTGCCTTTCTGATTTGCCTAGCTGAAATTTCTGTCCTAAAATGACTGTCATTACTTATCTGCACATGAGTTATATCTTTATAGCGGAAAATAAGCTCCATGAGGACAAGAACTCTTTTTTTTCCCCCTAGTGTATCACTAATGCTTAGCAAAGCACTTGGGCCCTGGTAAATGCTTATTGTATATTTGCTGAATTGAATTAAATGCACAATCTTACACTTTCATTCAAAAGCTCTATAAGTACAACATATGAGAGTGTAACTAGACAGCATTTCCTTCGAAAGAGGATCTTGAGATTATAGTAGTTCATTATGAGCCAATAGTGTAATAGGACAGCCATGGACACTAAATCAATCTCAGACTACATTTAAAAACAAAACAAAACAAAACAAAACAAAACATAGTATCCAAGACTCGGAGGATGATAGTTCTTCTGTCTTCTGCTCTGATCAGACCAGATCTGATGTACTCCATCCTTTGCTCCTATCACACCACAATAGGTAAATTGTGTTCAGAATTAGTTATCACATTTTAGCAAGTACACTGATGACTAGGAAAACAACCACAGGGCAATAAACAGCATTGGGAGGAACTTCGGGGCAAAGGCTCAAATTAGATGAAGAAACTAGGGGTGTTCAGTCTGAAGTCGAGAAAGGTTGTGGAGGAGTATAAGATAGCTGTATAATAATAATAATAATAATAATAATAATAATAATAATAATAATAAT